ACAGCTGCAGCAGGCTGCGGCGCTGGCGGAGGGCCCGGCTGTGCCTGTGCCGCTTGGCTGCCTCCGCCTTCTGGGAGGAGGGAGGGAAGTTGAAAGAGGAGGCAGAGGACCATGGGGGTGGGGAAATCACACAGCTTTGCCCAGGTGGGAGCATGCGCCACGTGCATACATACAAGACAAAAAGCACCGCAGTGATGTTACGATGCGGTGCTGGCAGGTTATAACCAATTCATGCTGACGATTAACAGTAATAAACAACTAAGCTATGATTATACCTCTGGTTTAATTTTTCCTTGCACTTATGACAAAATTGCTCTTTAATACCTGTGCCTAGTTAAAGCGTTCACCAGACAGTTAATGTATAGGTTACGTGAGGGACCAGTCACACTTCGTTCTGCTCTAATTGCAGTCCTGTACGACAAAGAGTAACATCTCTACATTTCACACTCACTTGCGCTGGTGTCTTGCCCGGGCTGTCTGTTGTCAGATGATGTGGTGCGTTTGGGCGCTCGGCGTTGACGTCAGGGGAGCATCTCTTCTTTCTGTGGTGAGCAGGAGGCTTGAGAGCAGCTGCCTGATTAAACAAAGGACGGGTTTTCAGGCTTGCCCCTGCACCTCCTTTGACACTGTTACACAGCTGAAGCATCGCTTGTCTCTCACCTCCCGCACCCGGTTTCTCTCACGGAAGAAGTGGCTCTCAAACGAAGCGGTTGGCTCATTCCTCTGCCTCGCCACCTTCCGCAAGCCTTTTTTTGGCTTTGCCAGTGTCGTCGCGTCTTGTTTAGAAACCAGCGGGAAGATGGGTACCTGGGCGTAAGGGCTGCCTGAACGGGGCAAAGGGAAATAGGAACCAGAGTCACTGACTGTGCAGCCAACAGTCAGCTGCCTCTTGGTTTGCCTCCTCTCGCCAGGGAAGGACTCGGTCGGTCCTGAATTCCTCACTCTGAGCCATGAGTCACAGGAGCTGCCATCTGGCGTGCCCAACATTAGCAGGTGTAGATCCACAAAGGCACCAGTGCCTTGGCTACGGTGTTGAGGTGCTTAATCTGCAGCAATCCACGGCGCAGAGGTGCCTGTAGGTGTTGGGGTAACCCAGAGCTCACCCACCGCTAGACACCTCTTAAGCATTTAAGGCAGCCACCTTGCACACACACCTCTGGAGAGCAATTCCTTCGCCCTAAGATCCTCTGGAGCAGAACCCGCTGCAACTGTTTGATTTTGCTTCTTGGCCTGGCAGGGTTTTGGGCTGGATGGACTCACGAGGTCTGTTCCTCCAGCTCCGTTTTCTGTGATCCTCTTAGGAATTACCTTGGGAAAAGTTTGCTAACGCAGGGCTGACCCCGAGCCTCACCGAACTCAATACCAGAAGCACCGATCCTCCACCTTCGGAGAAGGCCACGTGCCAGGAGGGAACAGAAGAAGCTGTGGCAAATGCTCCAGCTGGGTTGTCGCCCTCGTAGCTCCAGAGACTTCCCTTTTGGAGAGTGGGAGTGACAGTGTGCTCGCCTTACCTTTGAGGTGCTCCGCGTAAGCTGCTGCCTCCCTTTTGTTCGTGGCTGAGACGTGGGCAGCGCTTACAAAGGAAGGCATAGGGTAAACTGGCTTTTTCCAAATTTTATGGGGCTTCTTTCTGCGACGCTTGAGGAAGTCACCATCCATCCAGACTTTCTGGCGAGTGCAGTCCCTAAGCTTCTGTTGGTAGTAACTAGAAGACAAAAGTCATTGTCCTGTGAAACACAGCCCAAGGCCCCACGCGGCAGTGGCTGCTGTGCACCGGCATATCTGGAAAGACCGGGTACATGAGGGTATTGAAACTGCGAAGGTGTGTGATAGACACGTGGTGGCATTTACGAGTGTCTTTGTAGAACAGGTGCCTGAGCTATGCAGGTGCTTTCGGATGTCCAGCTAGATATGAAATATTTCTGGAAATCTAGTCTTGGGGCCCCTGTGTTCTGTATATTTTGTTATACAAGGCACAAATGTCCCAGTAGAATGGGGACCTCCCTTCTCTGTCTCGCAGAGCTAAGGCAGCTCACCTGATAATCTGAAACAGATGTCTCCGGGGCAGAGCTGCCAACTCCAGCAGCTTCAAGAAGGCTTTGAAGAGGAGGATTCCTCTGGCATCGACAGAATCGAAGCTGCCCGAGTCATTTTTCCCAGGGGCTGGAGAGGAGGAGAGTGATCAGAGCCATGACTGAGCCTTGTCTTACCTTCACAGAGCTCAAAGGGAGCAGAGATCCCAGGAGCCCCCAGGAAGATCTGGACAAGTTACGCCATTTTCTGCTGAGTGCTGGTTAGGTATCTAGCAGGGAGGACAACTCCCTGCAGCTTATCATTAGCCAAAGAAGGTAAGGTCTTCTGTTCCTTCTGTGTCCCATCTTGTAAGAGAAGAGTTTGGCCTCTGCTCTTGTAGCCAGAAGCATCTGGACCAAATGCTGGATTCCTGCCCCTGTCCCTGAGACTGGCAAGCACAGCGATGGCCCTTCCCCACTGCTTTTCTCTGCCTCTTGGCCTGGGGGCAGAGCTAACCCTGAGCTGGCCCGCCATGGCCCATTGAGCTATTGCTGTCTTGTCTGAGTAGAGTGGCCTTTGTTTCTTTGGGTCCCAGATACTGATTTCTTGCTCAATACCAATTAGTCTGAGAATCAGGTAAATTCGGATATCTCTGGATAAGTGAGGCTTTTGCTGGAGTAGAATGTCTCTTACTTACATATAGTCTGGGCGAAACACTTCTTGTCAGTAATGATGTCCAGAAAGTCGGAGAAATCCACCGTCCTGTCTCCTGCAGGCAAGTGGCACCTCCGTTAGCAGGGCAGTTTTTTGCTGTAATTGAAATGCTGGGGCAAGCAGCTCGGAGCTGGCACTGCAGAAAGATTTGCTACTAAAATCTAAGGGTAGGAGGAATGCTGTTAAAGCTTTCACGTGTAACTGGGCTGTGGAACTTGGTGTTTCAGCATGCATAAAGAGGTCCAAAGAGCGTGACGTATTCATGAAGGATAGCTGCTGGTAAGTGATAAACCGCAGCAGCCCAAGTACAGCCTCTGGCTCAGGAGACATTTTGGTACAGTATTGTCCCAGGCTGGGAAGGCACATGGAGGAGGATTGCTTTGCACACCCAGAAATTGGCTCGGAACAACCCACAGGGGAGTAACGTGTGGTCTGGTGCACTCACTGCTGGCATCCGCACACACCAGCTCATTGTACGCCTCTTGACTGGTTAAGCTAATCCCCAGCTGCTTAGCGGTCATCTCCAGGCTGTGTAGTTTAATATTGCTGTCCAGGTCTTTGGGGAATGAGTTGAAAGCATCGGAGAATGCTGCAGGCAGGGAGAGGACAGCGGGTTAAACGGGCCAGAGGGAGGCACTGCCTATATTATATTCGTTTGGAAACAATGAACTATAACTGGAGATTTGGGACTGGGGTTGGGGCAGGTTGTTTCTTACTGCCAGTGGCAAAGCATCTACCTCTAAACAGCTACCGAGGGTGCAGGGGAGTTGGGGAATCTGGGCAGAGGAAGGGTGAGCCTGTATGTAATGCGAGGTGCTGGGTGAGGTTGTTGGTTTAGTTCTAGCTCTGCGCTCATGAGCTTCAGTTATGTCTCTGTCAAAAAGGGGTATTGATGCTTCCTTCAATCACTGGGTCTCCAAGTCCTTGGGACGGGGGATTGTCCCTTCCTTTGTGTACTCCTGGTTCTTGTCTCAGGAGGATCATGCAATGCCGCAGGAGCAAGCTAAAGGTCAAACCACTCCTGGCCATGCTGGCAACATGCCAGCCCTGGACATTACCTTTCCATTGTTTCCTTGTCATGTTCTTCGCTGCTTTGCACTCAATTCTCTGCTGAGGGATGCGTGAAAGGTCCCTGCCACACACACAGAGGCATAAAGAGAGATGGACAGACTGACAACTGAGAGGCATGCACTGACAAGAGACCAACTGATATGCAGCTCCTGCTGATGGAGCTGGAGCAATCAATGCAGGCGCCAGTCCTTCTCCCAGCCCTATGGGCCAGTGCTGGAAGGACTGCCAGAGAAGAGCTCACCACCCAGCTCCACGCTCACAACGATGGAAGTGAAACACTGTGTGGCAGCTCATGTTAACTGCTCAAGGCTGCGCAGAAATGATAATGGGATCTCCGCTGTCTTCCCCAGTTCAGGCCAGCTTGGACAGAGGGCAACTATGGCTACCCTGGTGTGTGCGGGGAAGCAGAAACATCAGCCAGGAGGAAACAGCCCTGGAAACCTCCCTTGGTCACACTGCAACACTGGATGGACCAAGCTCTGTGACCCACAGCCCTTGTTGGGGCTGGTACTCAGGGCCCCGGCCCAATCCACCACCTGTGGCTCACACATTTCTTCTCTAGGTTGATAATGCCAACACGCAGAGTGCTGTAGGGATGAGTGTGAAGGCAGGATCCCTGCACGTGATCACATAACAAGGCCAGGGACAGCAGCAGTTCCACACACCCAGTTTCCACCTTCATGCTCACCTGGTTTCCTCCCTTGTGAGGGGTTTTATCACCCTCTTCTTTGGCAGAGGCTTTGGTGTCACGCTGGTTTTGGGAGCACAGCCAGGAGAAGGAGCAACTTTTTCTGGATGTGGAAAGACAAATAAGCGGAGAGTCTCATGGGATTCCCTCCAGGCAGGACTCACAGCTATAGCCACCTACAGCTCTGAGGCAGGAGGAGAGCTGGAAAGACTCTGTGATGACACCGGTCCCTGTTTTGTGCTACCACAGCATTAACTCACTGTCTCATCCTGCTCATGGGCAGCAAGCTATCCAGCAAAGGAAGTCCTGCACCCTCCCAGCATTCCCTGTCCTCTGCTACAGCATCTTCCCTATGGCTAATTCAAATTTCCACTTCTTGCCACTCAAGCCTCTGACTGCCTATCCCACCTGCAGTGGATGTGGAGGGTAGTTTATTCCCCTTCCTCTGCCCTTCTCTCCAGAGTAGCCAGCGCCTGGGACAGCAGGGAGCTCTGAGGCAAACTGCCACCCATGGAGGTGACACTTCATGGACAAGCTGGTTTTCCTTTCTCTACCCCTTGAACACGGTGCCTTATGGTGGCCAAAACCTGACTAGTCACAGGGGGGAATTAACATCACACCAAGCTCTCTCTTACAGATACTGTCCTCCATCCGCTAATCCAGAACCTGGTTCGGCTGGTGGATGTGAGGCCACACAATTGTGATCGCAGCACAGCCACCCAGCATGAAGGTCCCACGGCACGGGTGGCTAAAGACCCAGGCTCAGTTCCTGCTGTCACCCCAGAAAATCTGTGAGACACTCGGCAAGGTGCTTTGGGCCATGCCCAGACTTCCAAGTCCCAAAGGAGATGCCTGAGGCTTGGTTAGACAAAACCTCGACCAGCCTGATCTAGTGCTGGCAATAATTGGCTCCATGTGGGAGGCTGGTGCAGAGGCCTCCAGAGGCTCCTTCCCACCAGTATTTCTATGATTCACTCACCATTCACTTTTGCTTCTTTCAGCTTCTCTGGGTTTGAATAGATCCGTGGGGTGGCCGGGATGGAGCCCTCACCGCTGACATCAACTTTGTCCTCTATGAAAATAAAAAAGCCCCTCTGAGCATTGTTTTCCTTCTAAACATGGGTGTTTTAAGTACCATCCTAAACACGTCAGCAAGGTGTTACTACCTTCTATGCACAGCCGGAACATGGAGGGAGATTGGTTGTATAAAAATAAGAGCAGTGTTAGTAACAACTTTTGCCTTTCTCTAGCTCCGTCCTCCAGAGGATTTAATTTTTTTTCAGCACATTAGTGAAATTAATCTCTCCTGCACACAGGGAGGGGAAAAGCCCTGCCATCACTGCGACAAGGGGGAAGCAGAGCGAGATGAGGTGGCTTGTGGACAAATCGATTCTTGAAACAAGAAGGGAAACAGAAACCAGAGGGTGTCAAGTAAATTCTCACTGCAGGGTGAGAACAGCACTCAGCATTAGTGGAAATAACAGACACCAGAGCACAGAGGGGACGAGGTGCTGATGCTGGACCCAGTGGCAGCTACTGCACAAGTTAGGGGCTTCCCCAAGATGATGGTTAGAGCTTTCTTCCTTCCAGATGAAGGCAGGATGGAGTCCTTGGGCAGGGTCAGGCATTGGAAAAAGAGAAAGTTGAAAGCAAAAGTGCTGGGGCTTGCTTCTCTACACTGTCGGGAATCCACACTGACTTCACTGGGCACAAATCCCCCTCGTAGCATGAGGCCTCTGTGGCAACTGGGGGTACAAAAACTAATGTACTAGACCCTGCTGAAACGGGGAGGAGGATTTTGCTACTGGAGGAGCAGTTGAGTCCCTCACCGCCAGAGACTTTCCTCCACGTTTACTCCACATGAGTGGGAACCCACAGCATTATTTTAAGGGGATTGATTACCTCATGTAGCTTCTGTGTTAACATCACGTCCTCATCGTCTGACAAGAACCAGTACAGGCATGCAGAAGGCTTTTAACTAATCTGTTGGTTTCCAGAGATTTCTAGGCTTCCTCCAAGGAAAAAGACCTCAGATACCTACCCTTACCTTCCATGTATCCTAAGGCTTCCAGCTTCTCCTTGCTGGTCAGGTGGACCTCGCTGGCCACGGAGCCCAGGATGGAGTCGAGGTCCTGGGTGTCGCCTTTGTACCTTAAGGTAGGGCCCGGGCAGTTTTTGAATGGAGCAGGGCATCTGGCCAGCAGCAGGGACTGGCTGTCCAGGGAGATTTCAGGCCTTGGCAATGACAGCGAAAGGGCAGCCAGAGAGACACCATCCACAGCAGCAAGACTTGGCATCTCCTGTGGCTCCAGGGTCAAGCGGGTCGCCACCTTGGCCAGGTCAGAGACCAGATTATCCACAGAGGCTGTGTCCTCTGTAACAAGAAAGTGTTGGAAACCTCCTCAGCACGCTGGCAGTTAGCGCAGAGACTTGGCAAAAAAAGGTTATTAATAATAATAATAGAGACTCCTTTGCCTTTCACCTACCCTTTCCATCTCAGCATCTAAAGGACTGTAGCCACAATAATGCAATGAAACTCCCTCCCCCCCAGGCAGGGTGGGATGCTGAGGCCAAGAAAGATTAAATTCCCTTTCCACGGCCATTCATCACCCATCACCTCCCTCCATGCTGCACCATATGTAACACGCTCTGGACACAGCCCCCTTCTCCTTTGATACGCTGAGGGATGGCATTTATATCTTGCCGAGACACACAGAGTTCACACTATGCCCCCTGTGCCAAATAATGCAAAGCAAAAATTCAACACAGGATTAAAGGGAAGGAGAAATTGAGAGAATTTAACCTCTGCTTGAGTGCACAGCGTATCCCACGCCATTCGCGGGCCAAGCACGAGCTGCAGAGACCCCGTAGCCTCCCTGTGCTCCTGTTGCCGGGTTGCTGACTACAGGGGCCATGTAGGAGCAGAGAGGAAGGAGGGAAGTATCAGTCCCCACCTCTGGTGTGTCCTAGGGCTTCCTGCAGCTCCTCACTGTCTAAGGGGACCTCCATGGTGCCCACATTGGAGTCTGTGTCCTGGATGTCAACCGTGTCCCCTGCAGTATGGGAGAAGATGGAGCTTAGTTAATGGGGAAATATGTTTGAGGAAGGAGAGCCCAAAATACAAACAAGAGTTTGCAGGGAGACTCTTGGCTGCAGCTTTAAATGTTTTGCCAAAAAGGCAGTTTACAACACTGAGAACTCTCATATCTGCAAAGGATTTTAGAGAATCTCACCCCAAAACTGCTTCCCAAACCAGGGCCTTTTTGCCCAGATGTAGGTTGGAGGTCCAAGCTTTCCCCAGAGCATGGCACTTTCATCCCAGGCTAACCCTGACTCCTTTACTGCCCTGGAGATCCTATAATGGATAAATCCCAGAGCAACCCGGTCTGATCTCTCAGCTAACCCAGCTTTGAGCAAGAGGTTGGACTAGAGATCTGCTGAGGTCCCTTCCAACCTGAATTATTCTGTGATTTTGTGCCCTGGGAAATCTCAACACTTTGGGTTTTCTTTTATTCCAGCTCTTTCTCCTCTTCCTCCACAATTCTTAAGCTTTTTGCCCAGCATCTGCTCCAGATCCTGAACAATCCCAAAGTGCCAATGCACTCACCATCCACAGCGACATCCTCCAGTGCCTCCTGGTGATTCTGGTCTGGTAAGTGGGTTTCCACTGGGGCTAGGTGAGACTTCAGCTCTCCAACATCGACCTGCTTCCCTAGAATCAATGGGGAGATGTGTTTAATTTCAGAAAGTTTCCTAGAGACCTGGAAAACACAGTTCTGGGTTGTGAATGGGACAGAATGCACCTTAAATCATCTCCTAGCTGCATCAGGAAGCCCTTTGCTCATTCTTGGATTTATTAACAGACATCAGTTTACAAAAGGAGTTGATGTATTAATGGGCTCCAAGAAGTGGGAGCACTTCAGCGCTTTCAGGAATAAAAGTAGCATTAAAAAGAACCCTGGCCTGAAGTGTTGCTGCAGGAGCTGTGTCTGTGGGGTGGGTTGCAGGGTGTCCCCACTCTCTGGAAACCTCCATGGGGAAAATTTCCCTGGGGATCCCTGTCTGCAGTGGGAGATGATCAGAAAGCAGCACAGAAAGATGGAAAGCGTCTGACCGAGCGCGTACAGACGTCACCATCTAGTGGTCCCTAACACCAACAGCCTCAACGCAGCCCAAAATCTGCAGGTTCAGCAAGGGTTGGAGTTATTACCACTGGCAAATGGCTTCTCCCAGGGAGCTGAGAGCAACTGCCACCTCCACCTCCACCACCTGCCCCAGGAGGTACCACCGGCTGCTCACACTCCTTTGTGCCGGCCAGCACAGCGACACAGCCCTGATTTTTTGGGGGAAAAAGCCACTCCAGACTCCCAGCAGCTGGTCCTCACGGTCATGGGCCTGATCCTGCAAGCAGCCATGCCCACTGGCATCATGGGGCAGTGAACTTAGCTAAACAGGGGTCTTGTCTCATCCCACAGCTCAATGGGAAATGGAGATCTTCTGCCCAAATTGCACACGTGGCATCGCTCTGGTTTCTCCAGCATGCTGGCATCATTGAGGTGGGACAGAGGATTTCAGAGGAGCACGATGGAGCAAACAGAGTTGAACTGGATGGGGAGGAGCAGGGTTACCCTCCAGTTCCAGCACAGCGTCATCCTGCTCTTCTCCTTCCTTGTTGTACGGCCTCATGCACAGGTTGAACATGCTCTTCCTACCAAGGAGCAGATGGACACATGTGAGACGACCCTGCCCAGCACTCGTCCCTCAGCTTTGGGGGCCCAGATCACCCTCGGGGGAGACCTGGAGTGGGACTGGCTCAACCCCAGATGGTCCCTGCGTTACCTGTTCTGGGGTGTGACAGCCGCCTCGTGGGGGCTGGGGGCTATGTGCTGCGATACTTGGGAGCCGCTCTCCATGGCACTGCTGGCCCTTGAGGCTTGCCGCTGTGGCTGATTCTGGCCATCGCCCATGTACTTATTTTTCTTCTTCTTGCCCCGTGGCTGCCATTCCTTCCGTGACACCTCGAAGGAAGAGGGGGTCTGGGGCCGGGAGCACCCGCACCATCAAACACTGTCTGAGCACAGGCTGAGCCCAGGGAGGGGCATGGGCAGGACCTGGCAGCCCCCATATGGGGGGCTCTGGGAGGGTCCAGTCCTCCATCTCTGGAGAGTCCCCAGCTCCTTTGCAGGAGTCTACCCGAGGCTGGGCCATACCAGGGTGCTCAGCAGTGGCCAAATCCACCTCCAGGCCAAATCCTTGCCTGTGCTTACCAGGAGAATATACAGACCCGCAGCCCCTGGCATGACCTAGCTGCATCCCTGGGGATGAGGGTTGCGTTGATAGGTGATAGGCATGCAGATTTGGGGTGTGGACATGCTTCCGAAAGAACTCGTGTGAATGTGTGTGGGGGCCAGTGCTGCCCACCCTCACCTGCATTGCTTTATCTGCCTTTGGCACGTTCTTCCTGCACACCTCCTGCCTGGGTGGATACGTCTCGGCCATCAGCACCATGCACCATGGGGCAGCCCCCCTGCAATGTTGGCACCATCCTCCATCACCCTCCCCTTCCCATCCTGCAGCTTTTCTGCCTTCAGGACAAGCGGGGAACATGAGGAGACTGAAACATGGCCAAATGTGGGCTCCCTCCGTCCAAGGAGGCACCCCCTCACTCACTTGCAAGTCCTGCTGGATGTGCATTTCTTGCTGGAGTTGGCACTCCTGCTGGATGTGGAGGTCCTGCTGGATGTGGAGGTCCTGCTGGATGTGGAGATCCTGCTGGATGTGGAGGTCCTGCTGGATGAGGACACCCTTCTGGAGGCTGATGGGGCTTGGAAGCAGGCAGATGTGTCCCGACTTTCTGCTGAGCCACATCGTGGTGGCTGCTGCTGAGCCTCGGTGGCTGCAGGGCCGCAGGGTTTCGGCAGCTTGCTGGGGTCCATCCCCTCCTCGTCCCAGCTCTGCGGCGAACAGGGGCACCCGCAGGGCCCCGCTGACACCCAGGGGTCTCACACCCAGCAGGGCTGTGACTGAGGGCACGGCTGGGAAGGATGCAACCCGGAGCTCTGTGCTTGTGGCAGGGCAGGAGGTGACTTCAGTGCCAGGGGCCGTCTAGCAAGAGGGTGCTGCAGAGCTGGGTTCCCCCCCAGCACCCCGTGTCCCCCTGCCCTGCTCCAGGGACCCCGCAGCTGATTCACCCTCTGAGCGACTGCCCCAGGAGCCTCGGGTGCACCCCGGTGGCGCGGGGCAGTCCCCAAGCTCGCTGCCTGGTGTCACCTCTCTATCCCTGTTCTATCTCTGATGTCACAGAGCACCTGGTGGCACCAGTGGCATTCCCAGGCTCAGCTCCCCCCCACCAGCAAAATGGGACACGGTCTGATGAAGTCCAATGGGGTGTCTAAGGCACAGGGTGGCACAGGGATGGGGACAACATCCAGGGCCTGAGGACAACTGTGCCTCCATCCCTCTGGCTGCTGTTTGCTGGGCCCTGCGCCATGCCCGTAGCCCTGAGCAGGATCAGCCCCTGTGCAGGCTGGATGCGACCCGCGGGAAGGACCCTCGCTGGCTGGGCTCAGCGGGGACGGTGGGGCAGGTTCCCAGGCCGGATGACCCGGGGTGGGTGGCTGCCCTGAACCCCAGGGTGGCACCGCACCCCTGTGGCACCAGGAGCTCTGCAGCATCGTGGAGCGGGTGCCCAAACCGAGCGCTGCTTCAGGGCAAGCACAGAGGGATCAGCCAAAACCCCTGCACCCCAAACTCCCTCTCCAGCTCTCTGTGTGCTGGGGCAGCCCCAGACCGCTTGGGGGTCTCATCCTGCTCCTTCGTGTTGCAGCCAGGCTCTGCCTTGGGCACCCCTTTGCCTTCCCCTCAGCCCACCCTGCAGCTGAAATGCTCCTCCTGGGGCCAAACGCAGCTGAGCCCAACCCAAACCAACCCCAGAGCCCGCTTGGGTGCTGTTAACACCCACCTCGAGGCCCTGCCCGGTGCAGCTGGGGGCACTGAGTGCTGCCCCAGGTGCCTGGACCCGCTGCATGGGCTGGGGGCACCCCATGGCCCGGTGGGTGTGTCGGAGAGCTGGGGGAACAGTTTTTCTGGCACTTTCTGTGGTCCCAAAATGCTGCTTTGAAGGGTGGCCGCTGGGTGTCCCCGCAGCCCTGTACAATGCGGTGCTTAGCGGGTGCACAGGCTGCGTGCTCAGAGTTGGGGGCACAGGCAGGACCCTGCTCCCAGGTTTAGCACCCTCATCCCCAGCCCAGGCCCCAGCTGTCCCTGGGACGGTCCTGCAGCGGTCCCAGCCCAGCTCCCCTCCTCTGGGGCCTTCTCCAGCAGACTGGAGGGCTCACAGGGACCTGTGGGGCAGGATGGGGGGCTGCTGGGGTTCACCCCGCTTGCAACAAAGTAAAGTGGCTGCCAGGAGTACCACAGTCTGCAGTGGACTCTGGCCCACCCTGTGCCCCCACATGTGTTACCCACCCCCAGGAGGGCACCAGTAACAGCAGAGACCCCCATGGGGGGCCCACAGCCCTGCTTGCACTGGCTTCCCCCATCCCTCAACCCATCCCCGCCCAGACCAGCTCCCGGAGTCATGCGGGGGTGCCAGGGGCTACCCACAGGGCAGGAGGCCTGGGCGCAGACCGCTGGTGTGGACACCGACACCGTTAGTAGTTCCAAGTTTTTTATTTTATTTATTTTTATTTCTGTGGCGTGAATCGCTGCTGCTCTGGTGCTGCCCTCCACCCCCCCGCCCCAGGGCTCAGCCCCAGCTCCCACCCCAGCATCAGCGACTGCTGCCTGCAGCCAGCCCCTACCACTGCCCCTGCTCCCATGCTGCTGGGGACAGGCCAGCCAGGGAAGAGGGGGAACACAACCACCACCACCTTGGCCAACACGCTGCTGGGGGCCTGGGGGGAGCTCCACACAGAGCACAAGGTCTCTCTCGCTTTTTGATGCAATCGAGGGGAATAGAGGCACCAGGTTCTGGCTGGGGCATGGACCCGGCAGCAGCACTGTCACAGCTGAACTCTGCTACCAGGACATTTTTTTGTTTTCCCACAGGGGGCAAACCACAGGCGATACACAGCCCCAGGCAGCAGGACATGGCCCGAACCCTGCCTGCTCTTTTGGAACCCTGAGCTACACAGAAAACCAAGCATGGTGCAGTTACGCAGCCCAAAAAGCACAGAAAAGGGAGAGAGGTGGCCAGGCTCAAGGGATAATGGGCATCAAAACCCTCCCCAGGCTGCTGCCTGCACATCCATGTGCTTTGTGTCACGGGGACGGTGGAGGGGCACACGGGGAGCTCAGCACCATCCCAGCGGCTCAGCCAGGCCGCAGCTGGGACCAGCACAGCTGATGCTACATAGAGTTGGCCAGTGGCACAAACTGAGTGCACGTGGAGGGAATGAGGAAGGGCACCATGATGCTGGGGCACTGCTTTTCACTGTCCCAGGCCCCAGCAGCGCCAGAAACATGTGGCTGCAAGAAGCAGGGGGCCGCCGGGTTGCTCAAGTGGTGTCCTTAACCCACAAAGCCACGCGATGGCTCCTGCCTGCTGGCAGCGAGCGTAGCTGCCCTGTCCCCCAAGGAGACGGCTCCTGTACCCAGGGGGACCGCATCTGTCCAGTGCACGAGGGGACTCTCCGAGCAGGCAGAGCTTCACCAGCACGGGCCATGGAGGAGAGCACAGCTCAAGCCTTTAGTCTGAGCAGCCGCTCCCAAAATCCTCTTGGCCCAATGAGCACCTAACAGTTCACAGACTCGCCAGGCAGAGGAAGTCCCATTTTTCTGCATTCAGTGTATGGAGGGGCCGGTGACTCCTGCGAGGCGACCCACCGAGGTAAGGACGAGAGGTTTGCTGTGGAAAGCACGTCCCTGCAGTTACAGTGGGGTGACGGACAACGGCCTCAGAGGCAGTCGAGGGATTGTTAAATTACACGCAGACACACTCACACGCAGACACACACAAGCTCTTCTGTAAACCGGATCCAGAAGATCCCACAGATCCTTGGCTGATCCCACAGCCAGCGCTGGATGCAGCGTCCTTACATGTTCCCACGGTACGTGATGTTGGTGAAGGTAGATGTAGCCTCTTTGTATAAAGGGTTGTGGCCCTAGAAGAAGAAGGAAAAAGAGCATCATCACTCTGTGCTTGGCATCAGCATTCACTCTACAGCTGAGGAAACTGAGGCACCATTTCGGCATTGAGTGGTGGATCCATGTCTTCACTCAAGGCTTTGGCTGTGCAGTTTAACGGCTCCCCGTGAGGTTTCATAGGAGAGAGCAGGGAAAAGCTGCCGTGGAGGAGAGAAAAGGCAGCAGGAGCTCAGGAGCAGAGAGGCCTCCTGAAAGAGCCACCCCATCCCACCCCATCCTTTCCCTCTGGGGAGGCAGAGGAGAGGTGGGGGACAGGCACTGGCGTCATCCCAACTCCCTCATGCTCCAGGTGCCTCAGCCCTTCCAGCATCCCACGGCAGGAGGGACCTTCCGCCTCGCTCACGGGATGGAAACATTGGTGTGGGCAGTGAGTAAGAGGGTCACGCTGGTGACAAGTGCTTGGGATATGCTGGAGGTGGGGAAAAAAATCATCTGGGACATGTGCACAGCCCCTGGGACCGCAGCAGGCTAGGGGAAGGGGTGTCCAGGCTGGCAGTGCCACCCCAAGTCCTGCCTGTGACACTGTGCCATGCTTCAGAGAGGGATGGGGCAAGCTGGTCCCTAAGGACCACACCCTGGCACCACAGACAGCGACTGGGCTTTTGTGCTGGGAGCACTGGGATCTGGATCCATTCAGCCCAGGGGCTGCGGGATTCAGGGACTCCTGTCCAGCACACCCAACCTGCTGGTCCTCACCGTGTCCCACTTGGCCCTGGCCTTCTCCTCCTCGAAGCGGGCAAACTCCCGGCGGTCGTGGATGGTGATGAGGAGCTTCCAGATGAGCAGGGCGGCGAGGCCGATGAGCAGGATGGCGCCTGTCACCGAAAGCAGGACCACCAGGACGTCTGGCCCCTTTGGACAGTCTGGAGGAGGGAGGAGGGCAGGGTTGGTGGGGCTCAGCACCCCCAGGGCAATTAAAAGCAGCTCTGGGGCTGCCTGGCCATGGGTACACGGAGCTCCTCTGGTCTCAGGAGGGCTTCATCCTCCCCTGTTTGGGAGCAGGAGCCTCCACCCTTGAGCATAGCAGGCTCTGAAAAGGAGGATCCCATCCATGGGGTGCATGTGCTGAGATCCTCGAGCTCCTGTCTATAGGGTAGGGGTCTGCACCCAAGTCTGGAGCAGTCCAGGTCAGGGGTGTCACAGGTCCCACCCACGGTGGGGGATGACATTGGAGACCAAGTCCTTGGGCTGGTGGAAGCGCATCCCCAAACCACCAGCCCAGCTGACGCCCCGCCCCACCCCTACTCTTTGGCTGTGCGTCAATGCCGTATTGGCAAGCCGGGACGGCAAGACCCGGTGCGAACCCCCGCAGCCACCCTGCTCCCCCCGACACGCTGCCTGGGGTTGTGCAGCCCCCCCGGACCCCGCCTGCCTCTCCCC